AAGTGTACCCTGAGAAAACACTTCTTCATTTAAAAAAGGATTTCTTATTAGAACAAATTCCTAAAGACCTTCCTGATTGAGCTCAAAACTTTTCACTCCACCCTACTAATGGAAGTTGGTTTTTATTGCTACCTTGATGCTTTTTGTCAGTAATTGTAATGGGCTCGACAAAGGCAGCGGCAGTTGGGCCCGAAACTCCCGAACGTTTCACTAGAGAACTGACTGGACGGATCTCTCGGTTTTTTGCTCGTTTAATGATGTGTGAGCCTGGAATTTTGCGCGCGGTGTCTGTGAAGTGGTGACTGGGACTCCGGGACTACGGGACTCGAAGCTCGAAACTTGAGACTCGGGACTGGCATACCAATTTATAATTTCTTTTAATAAAGTTGACATTTTGCCAGAGCCGATGATGGTTTTTGTGCGTCTGCAACGAGTGGATCATGGATCATGATCATGGGTCCCGGGATGTGGCGATGATTGTCCGATGCGTGCTTGGGTCTTCGGGCTTCAGGTGTTGGAGCTTGTCGCGCCTGGCATTTTGGCACTTTCGCAGCCTGGTTCCAAAGCCCTTAAGCCCCCCTTCCGTCCCCCGAATATCCCCCCATATGGTTCCTGGGATATCCTGTGGCATATGCGGGAAAAGTCACCCCGCTAAACGGTTTCCAAATGCCTTCCGCTCTCCACACACGTGTCTGCGAATTCCGCAAATATCCGTTATCCGTTTCCTTTGCCTGAGATTTATTTGTTCCATTCTCTGGCGCGTTATCAGCATGTGCAAATCTTCAAAATTTAAAAATAAAATACAACGGAAAAATCACGAAAATTCCCCTTCCCCAGTCGGGCATTAGAACGTTGTGTTCCAGGCAATGCTTCTGACCATATTAGCACCCAATTCGTTATGTACATCCACACTTTTTCCACCCCACGGAACGTGTGTACGTTTTATCTGTTTTCCCGAGAGAAAAAAAGGATGCGATCCGCTTTAAACTAAGGCACTAAGCACTTTTACCGCTGCTTGTCTCGCTGCCCAACTTTGTCAAGCGCACATAACAAAGTGTTATGTGTCTTGTAACTAACACTATGCGGCCTGTTCTGCGGCACAAAGGTACCCCCCAAAATAACCCAAATGGACCATGGTACAGTGGTGCTACATATTACGAACCTCCTTTGAAATGTAGTAAATTTATATGATCTAAAAATGGTTAGAGATTGAATTCATTTTAATTCAGTTTAATTATCTAAGTCTTTGCTTTTCGAATCATAAGTTCATGTTTTAATTTATATAAACAAATATTTTTAATCTGTTCTTTTCAAAATAACTATTAATCATTCTGTAGGATATTTCTAGTTAAGCAGTAAAAAGCTTTGTAAAATGTGGAAGAAAGTGGAAAAAAAACAAGTTCCTTAATTTTTTATATTATATTTCGACACCTTACGATACCTTCAGTTATTTCGGCAATCAATTTATATTCTAATTTTTTATTATATGAAAAACATATTTTGAAAAGTTTGAGAATCTTTGATAATAACCATTATAATTATTATAATAAATTAATTTCAAAGATAAACGAGAAATTTGTCTTGATAAATATCAACGAATATTAATGTATGTATTTAACATAATCTACTTGGTTCTACTGTTCCAACAGATCTACCCACCATCTTCTAAACCCTTTCTCCCCCGTCACCCCAAAAAGTGTGAAAAAAGTACATTTTTCAAATGCTACATTTTCCGTTGCCTGCTTTTCGGGGCGAGTGAAAGTGTGGACACTTCCCGGCTTGGCAGACCACCCCTCACCCGTTCGGTTTATTTTTATAGTTTGTCGAGGAAAACCCGAAAACAACCCAACCAGCCCAACAGCCCACCAGCCCCACCCACTTTTGGCAGTGCGGTCGTTTTGTTTTCTGGCCCATTTGCGGGGCAAAGTTTGCATCAAGTTGTAAATTTGGCGATTAGCACCCCTCGGTGGGTTTTCGAAGTCGGAGATGGATATGGTTATGGAGATGGAGTGGAGCTGGCTTCGAGGCCATTTCTAACAGCCGCACACAAAAGCTCCTTGACAAGATGCGCGTCGGCTGATAAGTTGCATCTGAAATTAGCATAGGTTTTGGACCCGGCTCCACACTAGCAACATTGGCAACATCGGCAACATCCACATCCACATCCACCGGCCGACACAGCAGCAACATCGACGGGGCGACGATCTTGTCGCTAAGCTTTATGAATAAAACATTTTCGGCGGTGAACGTGGTCAACAGTAGCTGCCAGTGGCACGTCCATTGGCCAACTCGGCACTCCGGCTCCGAACTCTCGAGTCGCAGTTGCTACAAATGTTTTACAAGCTTTTCAGCGCTTTGCCGTTGCCATTGTTGCTGGTTCAGTTCCCGGAAACAATTCAGTTTAACAGAGAGACAGGACAGCGAAAAGGAGTTGGGCAGTTGGCCAGTTTTGCCGTTTGTTGGCTGCTGGCTGTTGGAGGGAAAAGTGCATCGCATATCGGACAATAAATCGTGAATGGTTTCGACCAAACTGAATGTCGATGCCTCGATTTCGATTCACTGCGCCACTTGCATTTGCTTTATGATATGAGGCCTGTCGCTGACATTTGGCTTGACTTTATTTATGATAACAGTTCGCTGAGAAAGGAGTCGGGGCCACATTCACTCAACAGTTTGTCAGCATTTTGTCTTTCTATCTTGCCATCTCCTGACCCAAAGCTCCAGGCGGCTCCAGCTTTTTGCATTTTTTCATAATTTTTCTCGGGCAGGAAATGAGTTTCGAATGTATTCCCTTTTCGGTCTCTCTCTTTTTTTCTTGGGTCCAGCCCGTGGGCGTGAGTGCGGCGAGGCGTCTCCGTAATCGTGGCAAATTTGATATACTTAATGCCAAGGATGAGCGCCTTCTGGAATGAGTTGCAAATTGCTTTAACTGTGTCTGAAACTCCTGCCGAACTGTGATACTTACAAGCTGCCCCCAGGCAATAAAAATGTGTATTTTTTATATGCTTTTTATGATTTCTCTCCTCGGATGCTACGAACCCGTTAAATGAGCCGCGAAAATAGTTTCCGTGGCCTGGAAATTGCAGGGAAAAGGTTGCTTAATGCGATAAGGTGAGTGAGAATAAATATTATTGAGGATTTATTTCTGAGTCTGAAAATGGCCTTTAAGAGGTTAAGCATGGGTGATGTAAATAGATAACGAAACGTTTTAAGGAAGTTAAAGCAGGTAAGTAAAACTATCTGAAATGAAACTCAAACCAAACTTAACACCCAGCAATCAAGCTCAACTGAGGTGGGTTCTTCTTATAATACGACTTGTAATATTAATTTAAAACAAGGTTTTGCTTAAACACTGTTTGCAATTAGAGAATCCTTTTTTATAAGAAGTGCATATTATGAAAATGGGAATTAAAAGGCACACATTTACAGCTTAAAAGTCTAACGTTTAAGTACTTCTCTATCTATCAAGCAAAACCCCAGCAGCTGTGGCCCTTCTCCCCTTTCTTGTAGCTTAAGTTTCTAATATTATCAAACAGTGTACCCACTAAAACTAAAATATTTCAGTTATTTAAAATTGGCATTTAAGTTATTTTTTTTATACAATGCATTTCCAAGCCAAATAAGTATAAAATTAATATATTAGATGTCCTATGCTAAAAAATCATTCCGAACATATATGAATGGTTATTTATTAGAAAAATTGAAAAATGGTCTTAAATATATTCGAAGTGATGAACTTCATTGGTCTGCTTTTATAAAAGTTTAAATTAATATTTTGTTTTTAACTAAGAAATTACTTTCAACTAAACCTTTTATACTTTGACTAATATGACTTTGATTTTTATAAATTATTACATTAAATGTGCAACGTAACCGTTCTTTAAATTCTGAAAATAATAATTCATATGATCTCTCCAATGCCAATCAACCCACCTGTACCCATCATTGACCAGCCCAAAGCCACATAATTTTAATTAAAACTCGCGCACTCAACCATTTAGCAAAGAATGGAAATTAATTTGGAAAGGCAAACAGAGTAAACCAAACCGAAAGCCCAGAACCACCGAACCAATGGCAATTGGCAATGGCCACATGGTAAAGGAATCAATCAGGCGTGGAACCCATGGCAAATATTTCCCATTTCCAGATCCCGAAGTGCGCTACGTCTGATTAGCCCCGGCAAACGGAACTTCCGCCTGAAAATGAAAATGTTTATTAAAAAATTTTCACTTTTACATAAATTCTCCGTGCGGCAGTAGTAGCAGCGACGGAGCAGCAGGTAGCAGCTGGTGCCATCTGCCATCGGGAATGGCCACACCCAGTGTTTCATAATTGGACCCGCCCCCGTTTTCCGACTTATATACGGGCAGCACTACGGTTGTCTCTCTCGAACCATCCAGCCATTGGATGCCTCAGTCTAACCGGTTTCTGCCCAATGCCAAAGAGAGACCATTTTCGGTGGAGAGCTCTCCTCTATGTGTAAATTTATATAGTACGTCGTCCACATGGGGAATATGTACTCTTATGTACGACCTGGATACGGGGGTTGGGTCGACTCTGCAAGTGCTCCACTTGAAGGCAGCTGCTCCTACGCTTTGTCGTTTGTCTAAATGTTTGTGTTGAGCTGCGGGAATCGTCACTGGGTGTGGATTGGGGTTGCATGTGGGTGAATGGGGAATTCCTGGTCGAGAACGGGCAAGGGAAGGGAACTACCCTGAAGCAAGCTACATCAACTTCCAGTTCTAACTACCAGAAACATTGATTTCTATACATACAGGGTGCGGTATGAGGTGAATTCGCGAAAAGGTATTTTAGGGGTCCTTCTGGCAAGTACACGGTGAAAAGTCCACAATTTTCGGTAACAGTATTTGCGGATAATACGGAGGCTTAAATATATACTATAAGAAGTTAATTTATTTTGTAAATATTATTACTTAATACCCATCCGAATAAAAAATACAAAAAATAATTATGCCCCAACCAATATCTTCGTCAACAAATTGCTTTAAAAATATATTTTTTTGCTTTTTGACATTGTACGAATTACAATAGATTTGGTTACAAATATTTAAATAATTTGAATTTTTAGTTCCGGTTCCGACAGATCCGGAATCCGGAATCATCCTAAGCTAATAAACACTATTTATTTCTGTTTTGTTGGATTTTGGTCTATTTACACGTAACATTTTAAGTTTCGCCTTTGAGCTGGTTTAGCAATCGATTTCCGCTTTAAAAAGTTCACACATTAAAAAGAAAATGTACAAAAATATCAACTCGTCTAGACAGTAAAATAAACACTTTTGAAATAACACTTAAAACTAGAATAAATCGCCCTGAAACCTTTGATGGTCCGCTCAAGCTCCTTATTCTTCTCTAGGTAGCGTAAGGTCACTAGTGATACTAGTGATTCCTCAGTGCCTCGTTGATGACACGCAGAATTTCAATTTGCAGATCGGTAAAAGCCACCGGTTCTAGATGAGCATTACGTATTTTCATGGCCACTGCCCTGAAAAAGGCTCCAATTTCATCATCTTCACCAGAATTGTGGCCGTTGCTGGAAGGGAATTCCATGTGGCTGGGTTTGTTAGGCGTTATGGGAGCCGAGTGGTAGCGAGACGTAGAAGTGGAGCTTGGGGTAGTAGCAGCATTCTGGTAACGAGGAGTAGTTGGAGTCTGTATTTCCAATTTTTGATACTCTCCAGCTGATTGTAGCTGCTGATGCTCAAGGCTGGTGGCTCCCTCACTGAGCTGCTCCTGCTTGGTCATGGCACCGCCAACGTTTTGAACAGCCATGTAAACGGGCCCATCGTCATGCTCATAGGTGATTACATGCTGATCTTGCTGCTGAGGTGTTTGTTCCGCCGCCGTTGTGGTTTCCATCTCCTCATCCTCGTCATCTTCCTCCTCTTCATCATGGTGTGCATCCCCATTGATGTAGTTCTCGATGTCCATTTCATCGTAGGTGGCCACACACAGCTCACTGGCCTGTTGTTGCTGTTGCTGATGCTGATGATCTTCCTGCTGTTGCTGTTGTTGCTCGGCCTTGTGGGGACCCGTCAAATGAGGCATGGCGGGGATGTTGAGCTGGGAACTTGAGGAAGATGACTCCAAGGTACTTTGCTGAGTTGGCGGCGAGTGAGGGTGAACCATATGCTCCTCCAGTTCCCTTACAGGATCATTCTTGGGTATGAGCATACTGAGTTGCGAATCGCTATCTCTGAAAGGATAGAGGTAATCATTAGACACTCTGTTCGTTACTTCTATCAAATACCTATGATACTCAGTACTAATTTAATACAAAGTGGTTCATTAAAATCACAAAATCTTACAGGGTCTTTTGTTGTATGTACTTTTGCAGGAAACTGAGCGAGTCATAATGCTTCCAACGCGAAGTGGCGTCTATGTGCATCAGTGTCCTTAATCGCTTGTGCTCCCGTGCATATTGGTCCCTTAGAGCCTTCCACTTCAGCCGACACTGTTTCACTAAAATAGTTTATGTATTTAAAGCCGTTATCATTCCCGGAATTTATTTTACCACCTACCCGACTTCTTCAGCTTTCTGGCGATCTCCTCCCACACCTCCATCTTGAGCTTGGCATTGCGATAGTTCTCGTTGCCGTAGTTGTAGATCATGTCCTCCTGCTGGATCAGCGTAATCAGTTCTTTTTCAAAATAGCTCTCCATGTTAAGGAAGGTGTGTATCGGGTCGTCATCCTCCTCCTCGGCGTTTGTCGATGGATTGTGCGATGCTGAATTTGCGGATACACCCGAAGTTACTGTTGCCGCTGAGTTTGACTGATTGGCGGCATTCACACAGTCCACTATTTCGTTGTAGAGAGTATCCACCACAGTGGTAGTGTTGGCCGTGCCACACTGCACTATGATCGATGGAGTTTCACCACCTCCCGTATCCGTCAGATAGTTCCAGTTGGTCTCCGGCTGCGTCTGCATTTGTTGCTGTTGCTGCTGCAACACGGCTCCAATATGGCTAGTTAAAAAAGTAGGTGCTGACTTCTTGTCGGCTGAACTGGTTGAGCTGAAGGTACAGTTGTCCAGCAGCGTGGAGGCACTGGCATCTTCAATCTTAATGTTCCCGGAGAGGTTGAGGTTCTGGCTGCTGCTATTGCTGCTAAAGGAAGTACTAAGAGGCAGCGACATTGGTACTGAAGTAGGAACGATACCATTGGTGTTCTGTCCAGATCTTCCTCTGTAACTAAAGGAGTAGCAGGTTAAAAAAGGTTATCTCTAAATGCAATACATAGATCAGTATACAGAAATATATATATATATATCGCTTAGTCATGAGGTATCAAGAAAATATCAGTTTCAAGTACTTTAGGTTCTTTAGCATGGAATGCCGTTAACAAAAATATTCTATATTTGCCATGTAGGTCAAACAACAAAGTACTTAGTGAAAATCGTTTTAAGTACTTAAATGAAGAATTTGTCGGCAAATTTCGGATAGTTCATCTGTAGCATTAATTAAGCTTTCTGTCAAACTTACTTTCTTGCCAGCGCATATGGACGCAGAAAATCCAGCTCCTTGAAGTACTTCCACTTGACCGCTTTGGAACAGGCTTTAGCGCGTTTAAGTTCCCGGCAGTACTGATCCCGCATAGCTTTCCACTTGGACTTGCACTGGACATCTGCGGAAGTGGGTTCGGATCAACTTTCGCGGTGAAACCACTAGTCCAACAACTTACCTGACCAACCCACATTGCTTCCGATTTCCAGCCATTTCTCATCCTTGGTCTTGGTGCTGCGGTAGTTGGGGTGCTTGGGATTGTAGAGCGACTGCTCCTGGGAGACCAGCGAAATGAGGATCAGCTCCTTGGGAATACTGACCACATTCTCGGCCAGACTCGCATCTATGCTGAGATTCACGAGCTGCTGCTGCGGCTGCTGGTGCTCCGGCAGCTGGTTGGCACATGGCAGCGTCTCCATGGCGTTTCCTACTTCGCGTCCATGCTGGCGTTGTGTTTATTTGGGTAATTGTAATAAATAAAAGCAGGGAAAACAAAAATGAGGTGACTGAACAGCTGATTCTGGAGAGTTGTGTAATTAGAGTGACCAGCTTGATTTCGGTGATAGGAACAACATTTTGATATATGAAATGGTCACCCCATTAAGTTTAGTGTTGTAAAGCGTGAATTGAAATGCATTTCACTCTGATAAGTTGGCAGGCCGCTACTGCGTTCGTTTTTGACTTTTGGCGCCCAAAAATCGCCTTTGTATATATTTGTATTTAACGGCTAATCCAATTAGCTAATTGCATTATCGCTACGGCAAAAAGCAAACATCATAACAAGTAGGCAAAACAAATTGTTTAACACTCAGTTTATTGTGCGACGCGGTGCGGTTTAAAACTAAAAAGTTACTCTTACTAATATTTCTGCCTTCGTTTTTCAATTAATGCTCAATCATGCCGAAAATTGATCCCGAAACTCAAAAACTCTACGACGAAATCAATGGCATGATACAGAAGTTTAAGGTGAATCAACTCCTTGGGATATAATGTTCTTGCCCAACTAACAATTAAATAAAAAATAATTTATTTTAAATTGCTCATTTGAAGAGAAAAAAATATTTACGCAAAACTAAAAACTACACTCTATAAGACGTAAACTGTAAAGAAATATTTATAATTTTAATTAAAAAAAATGTATCTATGTAGGAAAATTATAAAGAAGACGAAAAATTTATTAAAAAATTAAAAAAGAGCAGGTAACCGAATACAAACATTGGCTAACTTTGATGATAATAAAACGGGCCTAAATACTCATGGTGTTCGGGGGATGTTCATCAGACAGAAAAAAAAATGTTAATAGTAAAATTATGTAACTGATTTACGACACCGCTGTAAGAAGAACAATTATAAAATTTTAAAATTTTTACATAAAAAGATGACAAATATCACTTTTCCGAAAATTTAGACATATTAATTATTTAATATTATATAATTTTGCACTATTATATAATAGTATCTTCGTTTTAGTTGTAAATAGATTTTCTTATTAGACATATAACCAAATAAATATTGCTATTGACCTTGTTTTGTTAGGATGACCAAAAATCCAAAGCTGATTGCACTTTGGCCGACAAATGCGGCGACATGGGAGATGTGCCCAAGATACGATTCTCATCGAAGAAGATTCTAAAGGGGCACATCAACAAGGTAAACTCAGTGCATTTTGCCGGGGACTCTCGTCACTGCGTCACTGGATCTCTGGATGGAAAGCTGATCATCTGGGACACCTGGACAGCCAATAAAGTGCAGATCATTCCATTGAGATCCGCCTGGGTGATGACGGTAGCCTTCTCGCCGTCGGGCAACTTTGTGGCCTGCGGAGGAATGGACAACCAGTGCACCGTTTACGATGTTAACAACCGCGATGCCTCTGGAGTGGCCAAGATGGTTAAGGAGTTGATGGGCTATGAGGGATTCCTCAGCTCATGTCGTTTCCTGGATGACGGACATCTGATCACCGGTTCAGGTGATATGAAAATGTGGGTTGTCATAAAAGTTACCTATGAAACATTTTAAGATGGTTAAAAATCCTTTCCTTTCTAACAGCTGTCATTGGGATCTGGAGAAGGGCGTCAAAACCATGGATTTTAACGGACATGCCGGAGATATCGCCGGCTTATCGCTGTCGCCCGATATGAAGACTTATATTACTGGATCCGTTGACAAGACTGCCAAGTTGTGGGATGTACGTGAAGAAGGCCATAAACAGATGTTTTTCGGACACGACATGGACGTGTCCTCTGTCTGCGTAAGTACACACTTTAATGTTCTAATGAGTATCTAAGAATGAGTCATGATATCTCAACAAATCATATAACATAATATTTTGTTAATTTTAACTGTTCTTTTATTTATATTGATACTGTTGTAATATTTATATTGTTTTTGAAAGTCGTGAAATGGATTTACCAAGTCGTTTTAGGTATTTGCATTTTACTAGTCTTTTTATTAAATGACAAGAGATAACTATATAATTGACCTAGATATTCATTAAGTGTAAGTAAATAAAGTTTTTGATAAATTTGAGAATATATCTTTTATATCTTTATTGTTAAATGAATAGGAAATATCTTAAAAACTTTTTATTTTATTTACTTCAAAAAAATAATTTAATAAAATCGGTATAGAAATGCAGTAAAATGTCATTTAAAAACATATTGTATTTTTAAATACTTTCAAACTTGTTCTTTCACTGTTCCAGTACCATCCAAATGGCTTTGGGTTTGCCTCCTGCTCGGAGGATCAAACGGCGCGCATGTACGACCTGCGGGCGGACCAGCAAATCGGGCTGTATGAGCCGCCCCAGAAGAACACGGGCTTCACTTCGTGTGGTGGGTTCTTCGTCTTAGCGTCGGCGCTCTTGGTCGCCTTGACTTTTGACAGGTTTTAATCTGATTTCGTGTCCTCATTAGCTCTATCGACCAGCGGGCGCTACCTCATGTGCGGCGGCATTGAGGGCAACGTGCATTCGTGGGACACAATGAAGCAGCGGCACACGGGTGGGTATAGCCTATTGGCTTTTGGGTATTGGTCACTTGAGTATATGTGTACCCATTGCACTGTCGGGTTCCGTGATACAGAATGGGAATGGGCAGGCTAATGCTCAGAGTGGCACTTGACTTATATCGATTTGTTGACTTTTCTTTCCACTTCACATTCCTCCGCAGGCACTCTGTCTGGTCACGAGAACCGCATCACTTGCATCAGCCTGTGCCCCAATGGCATGTGTCTAGCCTCCACCAGTTGGGATCAGCAAGTGCGCCTGTGGCTCTAATCGGCTCTGATCTGGGTTCAATATCGTCCAAAACTACAGGCAACCTTTATGCGAGCGATTTATTTGCAAATGCAAAAGACGTAAATATCTTAATTGTTTGCAGATATTTAAGCAAATTCCTTAAGCTTTATAAAAACGTTAAGTAGGTACCAAAATTAGCAAAATTATTTTGATTAAACCGAAGTTAACTAAACTTTAAAGGAAAAATCAGAAACTAGCTTTTCTGAAAAGAAAAATTTGCAATTTTAGGAACGTTTGCAATTAGTAAATTTGCATTTGCAAGCAAAGCGTCCATATAATTATAATAATTAATTACTTAATTAAAGAACAAGAACGTAGCCTCCAGTAAAGTGCAAAAATAAAATGTATGAAGTAGTACTACCAAACTAATCAGACTTCTTAATTATTTATTCAATATCACTAACCCTCAGTTAAAGGACCAATACTTTTTAATTTTTTATATATTTTTTATATTTTTCTTATAAAAAATACTTATACAATTACGAAGATATTTTGCTGCTGCGATTTTTGGCGCTTGGTTTTGTTTGTTTGTGAAAATAGTCTTTGATCTGGTCAAAGAAGCAGCGAAGTAAATTAAAACAAATCACTTTTAAAATCAACAGAGAGATAGGAAAGGATTCAGATAAAGAGAAAGATGTACAGGGAAAGATAGAAAGTGGAGGAGAGACAAGAGATGGGAGTCGCAAGTTTACATAAATAATAGCGGAAAGAAACTGGTTTAGGATCACACAAGAAGCAAGAGGCAACAAATTGAGTATTTCTGTAGATGGTTGAGCATTTTCTCGCTTGTACAGTTTGTTAGGGCTTTTCATTGTTTAGTTTATCAGACTCTCGGTGGAACTACTGTGAGTTGTTCTCCTGTTTGGGAAGATGGAAGATGGCGGCGCGATCCTTAGACGGAGAAGCCGTCGCCGGTGGGATCGAGGATCCAGGGATAGTTGTTGGGGCACTCCATGCACGTGAACAGTCGGAGGGTCTCTCCGGGCAGCTCCCTGGTGGTCAGAGGACACGCGTTGGGCAGCGAGCAGTAGGGCTGGCCCTTAACGTCGCACTTCTCCTTCCATTCCTGGAAGTCGCGCAGCGAGTTCAGCTCGGTGGGGTTTTGCATCCACTGGATCACCTGCAGGTTGGTCACGAAGAAGACATCGTTGCGGCCCAGCATCTCCTCGATGAACTTGATCAGCTCGTCGCGGTACTCCTTCTTGGACTTCAGCCACGAGGCGTGGAAGTGGAGACCCAGAGGAGCCCTGTTGCTATTGTAGTGACGGTTGAAGTTGTGGCGCAGCAGACGGGCGAACTGATCGCCGCTAGCTACGTTCGAGCACGAGTCGACCATGTGGCAACCGGGCAGGGACTCGTCGAAGGTGGGGTCATCACGACGATCAAGCTCGTTCATCACCATCTCCCAAACGGGATGGCTTCGGGACGGGCAGTTGTGGGCATTGCCGTTGCACTTGTGGGGCATGCGGAAGTACAAGGTGTATGGCCAGATGGGAACGCGTCCCAAGGAGGCGGTTATGGAAGCGTCGTACACGAAGAACTGGTCGGCCATCATCTCGAATTGCTTGTTGCCACCCACGCGCAGGTAGGGAGCCCTCATGCCAATGATGGAGCCATCGGTGATGTTGGCGAAGCGCTCCACAATCAAACGGGAGCCGGCCATCTCGGCCAGCCAGTCGTCGTAGCTGCCGCCGGTCCAGTAGTTGGGATCGTCCTTGTGCGTCAGTGAGAACACGGAGATCTCGTGACCACGACGGTGCAGGTCCTGCACCGCCGAGTAGTTGGTGTACTTGTGGGACACGAAGAAGGTACCCTTGATGGAGCAGCCGTTGGGGTTCTGGCGCTGGCCGTTGAAGATGTCTTCGTACAGATCGATGTTGTCTACGTTGACGGCACCGTTGAAGGTGATGGTGATCATCTGGGGCACTTGCTGGGGCTCGATGCCACCAGGGATGCGCGTACCATCGGCCGAGCAGAAGCAATCGGGCAACGCGCACTGCGTGGGATCGCACTCGGGAGCTCGGTTGGGATCCTCGTCGACAGCTGAAGAGGGAAAATAACTCGAGATTTAGTCTTTGCATAGATGGGCGGTAATTGGAATTTCGTATTTTAAGTTAATATTTTATTCTAAATTTATTTGATTTGAAAAGCAAAATATGAAAACAATTTGAATTTGCATCCAGAATTTGATTTGACTGGAATTTGCTTTACTGATGTTGTTTAACTAGCCTACTAAGCAAATCGAAGTTGTATATACCTTTTTCACTGGGGGCTCAAAAGTAGGCTATATATTTTGTTCTGTATGTATGTATGTGTTTCATAGAAATTCATTAAAATAAACTTACAGCAGGCGTTCTCATCGGACTCGTCCTTGCAGTCGGACTTGCCGTTGCAGAAAAGTTCCTTGTCCAGGCACTCGCCATCACCGCAGGACAGCTTACCCTCGGGACAGATGGGCTCATCCGTCTTCAGGATGGGCTTGGCCTTGCGGGGCTCTGTGGAAATGACAGACTCTGTTAGTTGAGGACTCTTTTAGTTTGGCAAAGGGTCAGAGCCGGGTTAGTGACAACAAATGTCTAAATTTTGAAATGAGAAGTATTTACATGAGTGTGATGGGTTAATACAGGTGGTGTTAGTTTCGAGCTGGGTTAGGGTTTGTTTCTTTCTTGGATCTACCAAAGTTCCGGAAGTCTAACATTGCTGACTACTGTATGTACAGGTGTTGGTTGGTTTGGTTGTTCGCCCGACTGGCTTGTCTGGCTAGATGGACGTCACACTTACTCTCTTTTTCGTCGCAATTGGTCACCTTGGCCTTCCAGTCGCAGGTCTGCTTGATCACGTCGAAGGCCAGACCCGAAGGACACTGAATTTCTTTCAAACCCGACTTGGTACATCTACAAAATAAAGTTCATGTTCTAATTTCGATTTGGCGTTGCTAGCTAGGAGAACTTTGGCACCGATTCAGGGGGGATTCGGGGTGTTTGTATGCAATGACTCGATCGATTCGGGGCTTCCCCGGTTTTAGTGACACACACAGAGAGGTAGACATAGAGAGACACACACACAAGGGGTGAGAGACAGATAGACAGACACAGAGATAGAGGGAATAGTAGGCTTAGGATCGAGGCTCTCGGGAAGTATCTTGAGCCGCAACCATCCGCAGCGGAATGAACTGGGTGGCGTCACTTACTCTCGAGCACATCGCAAGACTTCACATTCGACTTCCAATCGCAAAGTTGGCGCAGAACATCGAATGCCAGGCCACCGGCGCAGCGAATCGGCGCCAAACGCCATGTGCCATCTTCCCCGGCACTGTCGCACCTTTCGATACCGATACAAGAAGGTGCAAGAATTCGTTTGTATGTGTTGTGCATTGGATTCTGGGGCATCAGCCATCTCAGCTGGACAATCGGACACATCTTTTGTAGACTAGTGTTCGGCTTACCTGTACACTTCGCGGCAGTCGCCGTCAGTTTCCAGGCGGAAGTACTCATCCGCGGGACGATCGGCGCACACTTCCTCAACGTCAACGCCTTCTAGTTTGTCCTGGCCATGTGCTGTGGAGATTTAAGAGGGGTTGGGTTTAATAAAAGAATCAATTGAGACCTAAACATCATCAGTGGTGTTTCTAGAATCTTCTAATAAGAAGGATAAGTTTTTAACCAAACATAAAATCTTGAGACCCAAAAGAAAACTATCACAAAATCTCCTTTATAGATAACAAAGGCATACCAACTTAAAAAAGTTCTTTGTTGATCTAAAGCATTAAATCTTTTCGCGACCGCCATTAAGCTGATTCGATTGCAACAATTATTTGGAAACATTCTAGCTGTCGAAATTGTATTTGTCGGTATCTTTATGAGCGCCATTTATCTCCGCCGTTCTATGAGTTAATCGGTGGCTTGAGCCATTATAATGGGCCGCACCTCATGGGTTAACCTAACGGTTAACTTACACCCAACACGAACGACTTTCAACCGGTTTTGGCCGCTAATGTGGAAATACGAGTACAACTTCTAGCCGACCAAAACCACTCTCATTTTTGTTCGTAACCGTCTGTCTTCATCTCGTTCGGTTGAAATCGAAAGGGCAAACGAAAGCGGTAGATCCCATTTATAGGCACAGATCCATATTTCTGGCCAGTGGGGAATGCTGACGGAGCTGGATAGTGGATCATGTCCGATCCTATAATATTGGTTTGTCATGTAAGGTGTCTCCCCAAACGGGTTTGCGTATTGGCTAACCGCTGCTGTTGTTGTTGTTTTTGTCTTATTATTGGAAACCCGTTTTCGATTTAACATTAAAATGATATTGCATAAACACAACGTCGGCGAGACCGAAACAAAAAAAACCGATAAAAATAAAAAAACGGAACCCAAGGCAGACGGCTGGTTTTGTTCGGTTTCCTATGCTAATTTCTTTTTATGGCCAGCTCCGGTTTGGTCCTCTTGCCACAGATTTGCCTTGTTTCTTCTCTTTTCCGTGATATCTTACATCATTGAGTGAAGGATAAGTTTGATCGATTGCATGCCGCTAATGACTTCGGTCAACTTCGATTTCTTTTAAGCCTACATCAGCGTACTTGTTCAAGTTTATTTGCCTTGGCCAACGACCGAGGCGAAGTGGTTTGTTTTTATTTGTATTTTTCTTTGGCAGCCTTGCGAAAAGTGGCGAAGTTTCCACCGCCAAAGGTCAACTGCTTAACTCTAGCTACTATGTACTACGTACTAGCCACTAAGTACTAGGTGCTATAACTAATTGAGGTACTTACCCACAGCCAGGCAGAGGCACACAATGCTTAAAGTTGGCCACCAACGCGCCATGATTGATTCCAGAGCTCTCTGCGGGCGGAATGCAAAAGGTTAGAAACACAAATCACATGCAAGTCGGTACTAAAGCTGATATTAAATGAAACTTTGGAAAACTCTACTAACTTTTGCCCAGACTCTGAGTGGGAATGCTTGGTTCGAATGGAAGTGGAGTGGACGGAGACACTCTTCCAATACACAGCCACGCTTACACTAGGTGTTGGCCACCTGCAACGAGTTCTATTTATTAAGCCGTGGTGTCTTGGCCGGCTTTGGCGCCGTGGTGGACTCGGTGGAAATCCACCACGGCGCTGCGCCGGCGCAAGAGCTTTCGAGGGGCGAAATCCGCCTTCGTGACTTGTGGATCCCATTCCGAAATGCCAAGGTACGCAGGCGTCTCTCCGTTTTCTTCGATGTGTGAAGAAAGGTTAATTAGCATTTATAGGCGCAGGTGGGAGCGGGATCGGTCTCTATTTAACGACCGATTGTGCGGGGGATTTGATTTGGATTTGATTTTTTTTATTTTTTATTTTTGTTTCTGTTTTTGTCAGACGACTGCACCCCATGGGCTTGTTTACTCCGCTAGTTAGTCATCCGCTTAGACATAAATCAAATGCGAGTGCCCATCAATCTTTTTCTGCCACTGACCCTGAATTTCCGAGTCTTTTGTTTGAACATCTGCGACTCGTCCATATCTCGATTCTATCAAAACTATTATACAAAATCTCGATTTCGTAACTGTTTTTTATTGTTGTTTTCCTCCTCTTTCTAAACTGTTTTCTTCTCCTGCACGTTTACTGTCTATTTGATTTTTATTTTCACCGCGACGAGCCGAGAATCCCAATCGGCCGGAGTTGGAGACACCTGGTGCATATTAAGAGGGGGTCGGTTGGGCCTGGAAGCTTCCCAGTGCCTCTGCAGCGATTATTTGTATGCCAATCGCAGCTGTCGCATAAAATTCTTGTTAACGTGGCTAAGACACTAAAAGGTTATTAAACCTCCGACGACTCGAGTGTTCCAGCAAAAGAGAGTCTTATTTCGAGTCTCGCTGAGTCACAGTGATTAAATTTGACTGCACTCCCTGTCGAAGATCATCAGTTCTTTTTTTAATTAATTCCAAGCCGCCGATGCCGTTGTTAACTGTTTTGTTACCTCTTATTTGTCTTCTTACCTTTATTTTTTGCACTCCCCAGTTGCTGTTATGTAAAGCAGATGGAGGAGATGCAGGCGCAGCAACAACAAGGCGCTTTAAGGGCCACATACCAGCCAACCTACCAACTGCTGCTGCCTGTTATTCAATAAGCCATCCAAAGTGGCTACCAAAACCCGTAAGTGTGAGCAAAAAATAAAAAAGACCAACAAAACGGAGCATGTTTGCGGATATGAAATTGCTGGGCACAACTTGCGGTTACGGGGGGCACACACAAGTCTCCAGACACCCTGTAACGGATCGGTAGGATAAACACTAGGGACCAATATTTGTCAAATGAATAATACATCATAAATATGGTAAATTAATATATGTATATGAACATATGCATTATTCAAATAAAATAAACTTGGGCATACCAATTTGGCATCCATCACTTCAAGAGTTGAAAAATGAAGATCACTTTTAAGTTTTAACCTTCAATTTACGAGATACATCATTTGACATTAAAGCAGTCTTGAAGCCTTCCTTAACTAAGCTTTCTTCTTACAATGATTAGAACTGTTTATTATATGCTGTTCCTAGAATGTTTGATTTAGTTTGCAAACATTTTATAAATTTTAAAAGTTGTAAACATTTTGTAACCACCAAACGACAAGATCCATGGAGATCATGATCATGAGTATCATAGCTGACGGGTCGTCAAGTATTTTTTTAGTACTACCACTTTTGCTTTTATTTCCAGACGGCTTCACTTCACCAGAGATCACTTGAGCGACAGAAAGCCCAGAGCAACGTCAATTAAGTTGAATTCGTGTCCGATCTAGAAGGAATCGACTGGTGGCGTGTTAATGCAATTTATTCGAGTATTTCCAGTATATTGTCTCAACAGCACATTGCATAGTTATTTCCTGAACTTGAAAACGAGTTCTGCCGTGTCGCCAAAGAGAACATAAGTCAAATGAGATTGCAGAAAGGCCATGCCAACATGGCGTATGAGTGTTTTTTTTTTAGTACATTTAGTTTCTGTTTTATTGCAGCGGGTGTGTCTTTGTGGAGTGGAAAATTCTCGGAATTGCGACTGATCACAATTACATTTTAATTGCTATTGGCCAATTTGGGTCCAAGTGGAGTGGCTGCGGTGAAGGCTGCCAATTGGCACGAAGATGCCGCAAAAAGCTGTTCACCTTCTTCAGCGCGATTGCAGCATTTTCTTAGTTACAATTAATTTCAGCACTGCGCTGGTGATATAATCCCTCAACCGCATCTCACCGAAAGCCAACAAAAAAGCACTGATTATTATTATTACGGGCCGTCTTCTTCTTGCCGTTTAATCAACTGTTAAAACTGGTTTTTCAATTAGAGTGAAAATGTTGATGATATGATGGCACCCCAAAGCGATGAGCAGCTGAAGAGTGAAAATCGTTTTATTTTATCATCATCTTTTTTCCATGGGTTTTACGGATTTACATAATTTAGTTGCCCTCGATTTTGTCGATTTGTAGCTGTTGGCGCAGCCACCGTTGCGATTGTTATTGCCTCTGATTTGATTTAAATTTGTAAGCGTTTTAACCTTTTTCGCAGCTGTCTTTGGCCGTCGTTGGAAAGGTCGTCGATTCGAGTTTTCGGAATGACACACTTTTGATCTGAAAAGAGCCAAAAGCCAATAGCCAGATCACCAACGCCCATGGGCTTTTCTATAGTCCTTCGACCATTTAATACGATTTATTTTGCATACTAAATGAAAACCAACGCCATTCGTTGATGCCATCTGTCTGCATTTATGATTCACAAATAAACTACTAAAAAACTAAACAAGTTTGTCTTTATTACTTCTGAGAAACCTCTTTAACTTATGACTGCCAACTGCAATTGTTATTAAATTAATTAAACTAATTCAGAAAACAATTTTTAACGAAATAGATGCAAATAGTACAAAGTACTCACAAATATATGTACTCGTAAAATATTAAATATGTTAATATCACCTTCTTTTGACTGGTTTAAGTACTCATAATTAAGTACGAATTAAAGTAGTGTTATTATTGCTAGAATTAGCTTGGACATTGATTACATTTCATTATTATTATTTATAAAAATGTATTTCTGTTTTGATAAAAGGTTTATTATTAATAAGAGAGATTAGATGAGATGAGAGATGATAGCCTGACTGAATATTTATGAATATTCCTAAAAGATATAAAAAGCAGTAATTATTATATGGGAGAAAGTGGAAATTGTTTTCAAACACCAACAAAAAACCTTTGGTCATAGGCTTAAAAATAAGATATCCTTCAACATGCTGTATTATTAGACCTTATTTCCCTCTTTCAAGCTTATTAAAAAACAGAAATAAATAAAGGTCTATATAGTTTTTCGAGACTTATAAATGCCTTTTACAGCCAATAGAAGATTTTCTTCGTCAGCAGAATATTGAAAAATATGTATGCTTTTTTATTGTATGCTTATTATACAGAAAGTGTTTAAGAGGGGAAAAGAGAAATTGTTTTTTGTGGAAGAAAAAAGCGGAATTGTTAATGAAGGAAATGGTGGCCAAGACAATAAACCGGAGTGGAAGCTGAAGATGAGCCTGAAAACTGTAAAAGAAATGCATAACCATAAAAAATACGAAAACACGAGCTGGGTTGCATAACTCCGCTCCTCCCTTGCCCCTCCAGGTCTCCTTTCCGCCGGCTATATCTGCAGCTCCGATCCATTCCGAACCGATCCGATCCGATCCGTTGGGGAAGCGTTTAATTTATGGCAAGCCGAGAGCATCGAAGGCCTGCAGCAAATAACGGACTTTCTTTTTAGTTTGTCTTCAGTATACTGAAACCGATCTGAGCGAGTGTTTGCCTTTGACTTTCAATTTCCATTTCCATTTGAAAACTCATCAGCTGCGATCTGCTTTTTAATTGCTCGCCGTTTGCCATCTTCATTATTATGCAATTATTGTTTGTTCCGCCGACGGTGTCTTGAACTTTTCACAAATGGCCTGTCAAAATCTGCGATGTCTTCTGCTGATCACCTGACAGCTGCAGTGAAACCGACCACTTATCACACACCTGGAAGCTGATGGCTTCACCTTGCCGCATTGACGTCACCCGAATGGGCAATCTCTTACATATTCCAATGAATCAAAACCCAAGCGCCAGAACAAGGAAGCATATTCGAGAACTAAGTATATGACTTGACTAGTTGGGGCGTCAACTTGCTACTGAACAGTGGGCTTAAACACTTACAAAATGGAAAAGTAGCAAACCAGCACTAACTTTAACTAGCGGTTAATAATTATTCAGTATTCGATTTGCGTTAAACATATGCAGCGTTTTAAGTATATGCCAACGATTTAATATAAATTAAGGCTTTCGTTTTTGTTCTGAATGAAACCGGTTAGGCAACCACGTTACTCTATATTTAAGTGTGCTATTGAATTTGAGATTCCTACAAACGGGATTAGCTAATGAGCTTCATATTATGCATATTTTTTAATTGACAAATTCGAAATGAAATATTATGAGGCAAGAGAAAAAGAAAGCTAAGCCGACAAATAATCATTTTTTGCCTGGCAATATTTTTATCGATGCCTTTTAGAAATGTCATAAATACTGTCTTATTTTTGCTTGTTTTTGTTTCTAATTTTCAGTATTTAAATAAAGAGAATTCGTTTAAATAAACATAAAAAAGAGTTCATCACTGAAACTTTATTCACTTTTTCAACTGAAATGATTTTTTGTTGCCAAGTCAGTCATAGGAGAAAATAAAGATAAATTTGGTCGGCAAAAACACGTTTATTGATATGTCAAATCGATAAATTTAAATGCGAAAAATATAAATCAGAAAATATCGAAGACATTATAGCACTATTTTATTAAAAACGAAGTGTTAAGCTTATAAATATACAAATACACATTTTAAAATTGTTAGAGATAGCATTTTCCATCCACCTTGGACCACTGTGCCGAGCAGCCGAGCAGCCGAACAGCCTACCTGCCCGTTGTCGTCTCGTGTGCAATTTATGCAAATCGCCCACTTTGCAACTAGTTCACTTACCTCGGCTCGCAAAAGTAAAAGTTTGCTCA